CGACATATGTAAATCGTTTCTAAAAAAGTTTAATACATATCGATTCATAAATAGTAAATAATAATCAAAAAAAGTAAAAATTTACATATAATGACAAGAAAATAAAAGAAGAATTTGCATATAATGACCAGAAAATAAAAATAATTACATATAAATACCCAAAGTAAAAATAATTATAAAGTACCAAATTTTGAAAATTTATAATTCTTTTTCAAAATAAATAATATTAAAAACCTACAAGATGAATATTAAAATAATAAAAAAATAATAATATATATATTGATATATGTCTTTATATATCTTTGTTTTGCTATTATTTAAAAAACTTGTAAAATAAATATAAAGATAATAAAAAAAGAAAATATATATTACTATATGCTTTTATATATATCTTAATAACTTTAAATAAATATCCAGATAATAAAAGAAGAAAAATATATTAATATAGACCTTTATATACTTTTATTTTGCTTTATACTATGAAGTTGTTAGATGAATATCAGTAAAATGTATATTAATATATGTATACTTTTATACATATCTGTATCTTACTGTAATGCTACTAATATGCAAAATAAATATCAGAATAATAAAAAAAAAAGTATATATTTTTTATATCTTTTGTATATTTATACTTTGCTTTAATGCTAACACCTATTAGTTTACTATTATTATTCTTTTTACCTTATTCTTTTATATATAACAAAAGAATAATAAGAAACTAAAAATATATAATTATATAGCTAATATCTACATTTAATTTTTCTATAATATAGATAACTGTTAGTTTACTAATATATTACCTGATATGCATATTAGCAAACTAATAGAACTATATAAGTATATTCTATTATTTTACTATTATTTATAAATTTAACTTGTAATATATTGTTAGTAATTTAAAGATTACAATAATATATATTACTTTTTAAATTTTTCTGATATAGTCAATTGTTAAATATATAATTATATATATACTGCATATAATAGCTATAGTTTATGTTATACTAGCAAACTAGAAGGTTTAGATATTTGTACAATATTGTATATATAACACAAACTAGTACCAAGTAATGTAAACCCATAATAAGTTCTTAAAAAATGTAAATTACAGAAACAAAATAGAAAGACAGAAGCCTACTTAAAAGACCCAAATAAAGAGATAAACAAACTTTTGATAATGCTATTGTAAAGACTAGATCTATGAAATAAAAATAGAACTTGTGAAGCCAAACACAAAGCCAGCTTTTGAAAAGGAGTCAAATAGAACCAACCAAGCTGCCATGATTTGTTCTGAAGAAAAATATTATATGCTAAAAAACATATAAACTAAAAATGTATAATTATGATCTAGCTTTTTGGGCTATCTGGTTTGGAAGCTTGATAGAACTTAAGTTGAATACTAAGGTAGTAGAAATATTGTAAAGTTTGTACTAGGATTAGGTAAACTCTACAAGAACATAGTAGATTAATAATATGCTCTGACTGCAAGTGTTAGTTTTAGTTATATTAATACTAAATCAGCTGTAAAAATATGATACAGAAGATTCTGGAAGGTTTAGTACAAGTCAAGAGTTTCTTATGTAAGTGAACTGTTTTAAAGACTTAGTAACCATGACATATTTTCATTAACATTAGTCAAAGTTATTAGTAGACAAAAGTAAATAGGTAAATATAGGAACTAGATGTTTAAATAAGGAACTTATAACAGGTTTTAGGTAGTGCAGCTAGTATAAAACCTTCTGGCAGACTATTAAAATTAGATAATGACTAAAGTTATATAAGTGGCTAGTTGTACACTCTTTTTATAGTTGCTCTTTATGGTTGTAATACAACTATTAACTAAATATACTATTAATAAAATTCTGAGTCACAAGTACTTATCTTAATATTTTTTTTAAAAAAACAAATATATATATTTTTGTTTATGATTTGCTAGTAAATATTTATTAATTAAAATAACTTTATAGTTATTTGAATTTTTTATTATAGCTGCTAACTCTTGATATTATTCTTTAATCTTGCTAAAATAACTTTTTAATTTTACCTCAATAGTACTATTATTTATTAAATTATAAGCAGAATTTATTGCATTTCTAGTTATTGTAATACTTTGACTAACATTTTCAAAATACTCAATATATTTTTAAATAGTACTAATAAATTGATATACTTGTGTTATAAAAGGTTGCCAAGTAGTACTACTAGCTTATGGTTGATTTAATAATTCTTCAATAGCATTAATATAAAGTTCTAATTTATTTTATTCTAATTTTTCTCTTTTTTAATGTTAATTTTTTTTATAAAATTGATTATTTGTATATAGTAGTAATTCTTTAATAAAATTAGAAAAATGTAAACCACAAGCATAAAACTTTGAATATTATTTATTAATATACTAAAATCTTTCTCTTTTGCATATTGTTTATTATTATATTAAATATATTTTTATTATTATTAAATATATTTAATTGACTATCAAAAAATTCAGTTAAGTTACTAATAAAAAATTATATATGAGAAATATTTTGCAAATTAGACTCATAAGCATATAAGCTACCTTTTATTTCAAATACATAAAAACAATACTGACTACTTTAAAAGCAATAAATTTCAACTCTAACTATTTTATTGGAATTATATTTACTATTGACTAAATTTAACAAATATTTAAATATAAAGTTACTTTCAATTTTATATAAATTCTCAGAAATAATTCTTAATAGTTTATAAGATAGTTAATTAATAGTAATAAACAAAAAAAACAACATTTTTTAATATTAATAATAATTTTTGCTAACATGCAATTTAAATATAATGTATTGATGATATTTATCTGAAAATTATTTCTTTAACAGCTAAAATTTGCTAACTTAGATTTGGTGTTGGCTATATCGATATTAGCATATTTGTATATTAATAAATACATATACAAGCTTAATAATAATTATAAGTTATTATCGTCCGGCAGTTGTTACTGCCATAATCATTTGATCATATAAAACAAAATCATTATGCATTTTAAAGTCAGCTGATTGGCTATAAATAAAAAAATTTTTTTACGTTTTCATTATTTCTTCTACTTCGCGAACAACTTTCTTTTATAGAGACAGTCAGTATTTTTAAAAAATAGTGGCTTTTTTTTTTTAATAAATATTTACGATGCCCAAAGTATCCAAAGAAAAGGTTCACATACTATCAATGTATTTCTGTATTTATTTAGTGTTACAACTATATATTATTATTTACTATTTATGAATCGATATGTATTAAACTTTTTTAGAAACGATTTACATATGTCGAGTCTACACCAGAAAAAGTTACATCATTACAAAAAAAGTCTGTAGTAGAAAATATACATAGATCTACATTGAATTGGTTAAAACAGTTTGAGAACTATCATAAAGATACAAACCTTCTTGGTGAATTATCTGATATTTCAAACCCAAAGCAACTTG